CATTTGAAAATTATAAAAGAGGAAGTGTTTGGGTAAATTTTTATTTATGAGGGAGATACTCATAACACTAGCAATCTTTTCTCTCACATTAGGTTTTAATTTTGAAAAATAGGACTTTAGATACTTAATGATTTTTGAAAAATTAAAACTAAACCTGGGATTATTAAACAAGAAATTTGCCCTTATGAAAATTAACTTGTTAGCTATGTGATTGATACACAGACTCATAATTCGTATGTTACTTGATTGACACATATATTTAGGTGATTGTTATATGTTACATTGCATTGCGGAGCAAGTTTTTATTACTCTTGCTATGAAATGACACTAATTTTCAATTTTGGTGAATTTTATTTGAAAATTTGAAGTTTAGGTTTGAAATCGGTGGTGCCATTATGTTTTGTGTTTTGTTGCATGTTTTAGTTATTTTTGTTATTGCTAAAAATTTAAAAAATACAAAAAATTTTATGAAGTTGTGCTTCAGTTACTTTCTGCAACATACTTGTTTTAGCTGTATTTTCTTTTATTTAAATTCTTTTTATTGTTGTAAACATTTGGTTTAGGGTTACTAGTTAGTCTTAGGTTGTATGTGCAGGATTGAAACAATGAAATTAGTAATGTTTAACTCTAAAATAAAAATAACTATTAAAAAAAATTATGAATCCTCATAAAAATTGAAAAGAATTAAGGAGAAATCGAGAATAAACAGGAAGAAAGTCTTAGACCTCTTAGAAATTTTGTCAACTCTTCGGTTAAAGAAATTCATTAGAATATTAATAACCCTACCATAGAAGCAAATACATTTTAACTCAAACTTGCCATAATTCAAATGGTCTAGAATAATCAATTTGGATGCTCATCCATTAAAGACCCAAATTTACACTTAGCCAACTTTCTGGAGTGATGTGTAACCATTAGATATAATGGTGTCTCGAGGGATGTTGTTAGATATAAGTTGTTTATTTTTTCCCTTAGAGATAAAGCTAAGATGTGACTTAACTCATTGCAGCAAAATCTATTATTAACTCATTGCAGCAGAATCTATTACCACTTGGAATGATCTGGCTTAAACATTTCTAGCAAAATACTTTTCAACTTCCAAAATGGCTAAACTAAGTCATCTTTCGCTTAATTGGATAGTGAAATAATTTATGAAGTTTGAGAGAGGTACACAGAGTTCTTTAGAAAATGCCAGCAGCATAGCCTAGCCAATTGGATAATTATTCATTTTTTTTTTTATAACAGGTTGGTGGGATCTTTGAGCTCAATTATGAATGTTACTGCATAGAGGTCCTTAATGTCTAAAACATTTGAGGAGATTTGTGTTCTTATAAATGAGATGACTACTAAAAATTTTTAATGATCTTATGAAAAAGTAATAAACCCTAGGAAGGTAGCTGACACTCATGAAAAAGATGTACTTTGCTTTTTAACTTCACGGGTAGCTGCATTATCCAAAAAGATAAACAACTTAAGAATAAATTCAATGCAAGGACCACTAATAAATGAAGATAGTGCTTATGGAAAATTTGGAATTCTTTAGTAATTGTAATAATCAAGATAATAATTTATCTAACCCCAAAGCTAGTTATCCATCTAAATTCATCTTATATACTCAATTTAAGAAAAGAAAATTTTGGAAGAATTGTTGTTCTAAATGGGAAATTAAATATATAATCAAACTGCAGTCATTAGTAATATTGATCAATAATTAGGGCAGTTAGCTAACTCATTCACTCATAGACACTAAGGGATGTTACCAAACAACACTAAGTTGAATTCTAAGGATCAAAATATGGAACATTGTAATGCAATCGAACTAAGGATTGGAAAAGAATTAGAAAAAATTGTCTAGTGATGGGAGATGCGAGAACATCTAATTCCTAAGTATAATAAATAAATTGAACATCTTTTAGAAAACTTAGAAATAGAGAAATCTGGTAGGAAAGATGTAGAAATACCACTAACACTTTTTTTCTCAGAGATTAATAAAATAAAATTTAGACAATAATTCTCTAGCTTCCTGGAAGTGTTTAAGAAGCTTACTATTAACATTCTATTTGAATAAGCTCTTAACCAAATGCCTAGTTATAAGAAATTTATCAATGAATTTTTAAATAAAGTTGTAGATTTTTCAAATTTTGAAACAATGACATTAACTGAAGAGTGTGGTGTTATAATTAAATAAAAACTCCCATGAAATTTGAAAGTTCCGAGTAATTTTATCATTCCATACACTATAGGAAAATAATTCATGGGAAGTGTATTATGTGACTTGTAAGCTTGCATAAATTTAATGCCTTTTTATCATTCCATACATCTTTTTATTAGTTTTATCTTTCAGGTAGCTAACCATTCTCTTACTTTTCCTAAGAGGGTTATAGAAGGTGCTCTGATTAAGGATGATAAGTTCATATTCCTAGGGTATTTTATCATAATGGATAAGGAGGAAAATGATGAGATCCCAATTATAGTTGAATGGCTATTTCTTGCAACTTGCATAGCAGATATTGATTTACAAATAAGAGAATTGACTATTAAAGTTTCGGATTAAGAATTAATTTTTCAAATCTATAATTATATTCCTACCTCTATTTATCACACTGAAGATTGTTACAGAGTGAAAATAGAAATGTTTCAAGAGATTTTGAAGGATAGTTTAGAAAATAAAGAGGTAATATTTCAAAGAGATCAAATTTTGATATCACAAGTGAATGATATAAAAAAGTCTCTAGGGCATAAAAAATCTTTTATTACCTTACATGTTTCCGTTGTAACTGAAACTATGACTATAATTTTTTGGGAGTATTTTTGGGATAATTACAAGTTGTAATTTTTTTTTTATTAGGGGTGTTAAAAGTTTTCCAAACACGCCCAATATGCTTGAACACAAGCCAAAAAAATTGATCTTGTATTGACCTCTTTAACTTTCAAGTCACATTCAAGTTTAGAATCATAATATATTTTATTTTTTGGGTTGAATTTAAAAAGCTTGCCAAATATAAACTGATCCGAAATCGACTTGTCAGTACACAATTGATCCAAAATCAATCACCAATGCAGAATTCACTAGAAATTGATATGTCAACCTGAATTTGACCAGAGTAGATGTTATGCCTTATATTAAATAGATTTAATAAGTTGAATTTGGGTCAACCTTATCGAAGTCGAATCTAATTAAGCTTACAGGTCTTTGTTTAGGTCATGTAGTCTTAAAATCATATCAATCTTGGGTCAAACTTAAACCTAAAGGATGAACTCAATTTGACACATCTTCTTTTAATTTATTGTGTCTTTAATTTTGATCAATTTTATATTATTTCTTAATCAATAAATGAGAATATTAATTCAATGAGTTCCTCCTATCCTGGAAAAAAAATTATTTCAACTTTATTTTATGTTACATCAACGATTAAATTAGATTTCATTCCAATTTAATAAAAAAAAAATCATTTAGCATTATTGAAAATATTAGCACGAAAAACTAAACAGTCACAACCAACTTTAGCATCAAATAGTACGTGTAGTATCTGCATGCACAGATTGATAGTATTGTGGTGGTATGCATATCACCAAATCCACACATACGTAGTGATATGACCTCCTAAATAATGGGGCAATTACATATAGATCCCCCAAAACTTGCTATTTACAAATCAACCTCCCCCTTTCATCCATGTTTCAAATTCTCACTCACATATCAAAATTCTTAATACAATCCCAACCCATAATTTTCATTTTTATCCGATTCATGCATAAATTGATAGATTTGACACTTCAAAAAAATCATCAGGGTGACTAATTTATAAATATTTATATTTCTGATGACTTATGTGCAATTATCCTTTTCTATTGCTATCAATCATAAATATAAAGGTCAAGTAGGTGTGGGCCCCACCACAGCGAAACGCAACGGCCACTTTCAGGTGCCCTCCTCTCTTCCCTTCACCAGCCGACCCTAAAAACCCTCTCGTGTTCGTTCCGTTGGGCCCCACCGATCGCTCTCAACCATCAAATATCGACACGTAATACCACGACCCGCCAGCTGTCAGCATTTCGCTGCGTCTTGTTCTACGTGGCACCCTCTGAGTCGTGCTCATCACACCGCTCCCTCCTCGCCTTT